CACGTGAAGTTGAACTAGCAATGAATAGATTATAGCCTGCGTTAAAAGTATTTTTAATTAATTAAGTATTGACTTGTACTGGACAAAACATTTTTCAGTTTTAGATCGCCAACACTTGTAACAAATATTTCTTGAGACAATAAAGTTTTGACCAGCCACCCTGCAAGACAACGCGCGCGTAGCCAAATGTTTTTAAATTTTGTGTTTGTATTTGTTTACACTGTCACCAGAGCTCGAGCAGTCCGAACTAGTTTAGACAAGAAACTCAATGCCGAAGAGTTTCTTGATGAGAAATCGTGTATACGCATATCTTTGTATTGTAATGAATTGAATAAAGAAATCACACTCGTGTACCCATATTTTTAGGTCTGATTAAGGAGTTCGAACGCCACCACCTTGGTTTTCTGTGAAGAACGAAATCTGGGAATAAGGGACAGTCACGTGATTAAACTTAAGGCGAACGACGGGAAGGAATGGATTACTCTTCTTCACGGTTGCTAGCCTTCACTAATTGCAGTCACTTTCATTATTCTTTCTTTTTTCCTTTTTTTTTATGTTTTTGTTTTTATTTTCCGAGCTGATACCAGTTTATTTTTGTTTGATTTAATTTTTAAAAAAATTNTTTCATTATTCTTTCTTTTTTCCTTTTTTTTTATGTTTTTGTTTTTATTTTCCGAGCTGATACCAGTTTATTTTTGTTTGATTTAATTTTTAAAAAAATTAATTTTGCATATTTTTCGCAAAATTGTGATAATTATTTGATGTTCCGGGATGTTCCGGGATGTTCCGGAATGTTCTATGTTCCGGGTTTTATCGACGGCCGGCTGCAACTCATGACTGCTGCATGTTAGTTGCGATACTCTTGCCAGAGCCTCACCCTTTTGTCTTTTCCTTGCCGATTGTTTGGTTATGTGCTGCGGGCTCTCCTGCTTTTCGTTTTCTGAAGGAGCCCTGCTCAATTTCAAGACATGTTCTGGGTTCAATTTTCTTCTTTTAGCAGCCTGGTGTCTCTTGTTCCTAGATGTTTTGCTATTAATGTTGCAGCCTTCTACTCGTGTTTGATTCTGATTTATTCTAAAGTTATAATCAGCTCTTTTGTCTTTCATGTATTCTTTCATGTATTTCCTTCTGTAAGCTTTACGTTTTTCACTGTCATCAACTGGTTTGTTTTCTACTGCATTTTTTGTTTGTTTGCTGTTGTCTCTTATCTCCATTGTTCTGTTTTCTACTATGGCAACATAGTGAAATTCATCTAGGTGTCCAATGTTAATGTTTAGGGCATTTGTAACATTCACTGGTTCAACAACAGTAACTGGAGAAAAAATTGGATTTAATTCAGCAATATGAATTGATAAATAAAGACAACTGGAAACAGCTTTAATTATGATAGCAACAGCCCATTTTACTT